AGTTAGGGGGTGTACGAAACGTTGGACAAACCGGTCATGCAACGTGATCAAAGCGCAGTTACGTTGCACTGCTACGTGGTGCAGGGTCTGTTTCATTTCTCTTGTAATGCGCAAGTTATCTCTAAGGTTGTCGGTAAACAAATCCCAAACGGTGCCTGTCAACCCAACCACATTCCAAGTTATGTAGACGGGCAGTCCGCTGTCCTCCAGCGCACGCAAGTTGTTGATTTCTCCTCGAGGACGCGCAGTGGACAGCTGGCCTAGCAGCAGCCCCTGGTAGGCAGCCACCAGCACGACGCACACGAGCAGCCACACGCCGAGCAGCGGCCGCAGCGCGCGGCCCGCGGGCGGGGGCGTCCCTGGCGCCTGGGCCAGCAGAGGCGCCAGGGCCAGCAGCAGCGCCGCGCCGCGGTCCCGGTGGAGGGTGCAGGCCAGGGCGGCCGCGGTAAACAGCGCGGCCAACGCCGTGCCTAGCCACACCGCCGGCGAGAACTCCACCAGGACGGCGTCAAGAGGGTTGACCGCGGGTCCGAGGCCGGCGGGGACGTAGACGGTGACTGGGTACATCTTTTTTTCGGGCAGTATGACGGCGAGCCTCGTATCAAATCGTCCCACAAAGCCCTCCTCTACGTATGCCAGACTCAAGCGGCACTGTCTTACCGCCCTCCACAACATGAAAGCATTTGTCTCATAATTAGAACGAGTCAAGTCGATGGTAGAGGTTACGTTTATATTCCAAGGCAATCCACTAGTTTTCTCTTTGAAGATCGCACAAAGCTCGGTGAAAAGTGACTCTCTTCCATCTAATGCTTGCCTAAAGATGCTTGTGGACTTGCTCGTGGCGGGAGGTTGCCACTCGCTGCAGAAAGGACCAAATACTGCTAGCATGGCGTCTCTTTGCCGCCAGCTCTGTCGTGACGTGGACCACTGGTCTACCTTCACAAGTCTCGGAGCACGCCTGCCACAATCCTGTTGAGCTACCGAGTACAGGGCGGTGACGCCGTTCGGGGCTGTGATTGCCAGGGCAGTGGGCCGCATGCAAACCGAGATCGAGAAATGCGGAACCTTTGAGATGACACCTTCCATGCCCGGCTCGAGCGTAACCCAGAAGAGGAAGCGTGCGTAGCCGACGTGGTCGTGCTGCAGCCACAAGAGTGGGTCCTTGGGTTTGTCCGCTACAACCATAGCCACTATGTTGGTCTCCATCACGTCGTTTCTGTAGTGTTTTCTAAACACGGTCTCATCCTCACCGGGTAGCAGCACCCAAGTGGCCTCCGAGTGCAGGCCCCGGAGGAAAGCGCTGGTCCAGTTGACCTGGCCGATGATGATCAGGGTTGTCCTCTCGGACCGCACGTAGGGTGACAGAAGAGCCAGGGCGCTTGTGGCCTCGGGGGAGTTGACGAGAGTGTCGTCGACGGCCAGGGCGGAGAACACCCCCGGAGCCCCGGTGCTCAGCAGCGCCGCCAGCGCTAGGAAGACGTCCATCGTGCGCGCTGGGCAGGAGGGCACTGCGCGCCAGGTGAGGCCCAGGAGCAGTTGTACCGCAACCAGTCAGTCAGTCAAGTCTTTGCCAGTTAAGATGCATCAAAGCATAGGGCACACGGCAATTTCCCTTTTGAATCCGCAAGAAAAAGCTCGTCAAAGATGTCGATGCTCGGTCGATTTCGGTTGGAGGATGGAAACTAACAGGAAGTCCCCTCGCCGCCACACACGTCCTCAATAAACGTCTTTCGCGGCCAAATCGAAGCCCCGGCTCCGGGGCCCTAACAAGCAGAAGTGACATGTCTATCTATAGGTTTTATCGTGGATTTCCAAAGAGATCGTCCAAAAATACGTCCGTTTTTTTCTTCAGCCTAGCTGTTGCTACAGCCATTATCAACCTGGCGAGATTGACTATAAACCTAGTGGCAGTGACTACACGCGATCCGAGACCGAGACGCGTGGCCAGCGTGGAGACTAGGGTGAAAAATTCCCGAAAAATTCCGGAAAATTTTCGAAAAATAGCAGAAAACTTTCGAAATCGAGTAATTTTTCCAAATTATTTTCACCGGGGATAATTTTCCAGTTTTCCCGAAATTTTCCAGAAAAATTTCGGAAAGTTTTCAGGGCTTCCAGCCCTAGTGAGGACGAGACATCCCACTCGTATCGGCGACTACGGGATGACCTGGGCTGGGAACCACGCCACGAACCGCCAGGGCCAGGGGGTGGGCAGCTAGGCCTCGGTGGCCTCGGGCTGCGTTCCCCACCCCCGCGCCGCTCTTCGGCTGGCGGCGAGACGCCCACCGGAGCGTGCCCGTCCCCGGGCTCTGCCGAGCTCTCCCCCACTTGGCGGTCACCAGCTCGACCCCGAACACGACGGCGGCTAGGGCGAGCCCGACGAGGAGCACGTAGAAAGCGGGGGCCATGTGCTGCAAGCTCAGGGGCAGCACCCTCTTCAGGGCCGACAAGTGCCTCGCAGACAGCACGCGGTTGCCCTCGTCCAGATCGTCCTCCCAGTGGTCCAGTATCCCAGCTTCATGAAGGCGAGAGTAGGC